TATATTCAGCACTAAAAGTACATCTGAAGTTATTCAGATTAGTTGATATTACTTGATAAGAATATTTTGAAACAATATAAAGTTCGATGGTCACTGGCAATCATAGATAACAAGTATACGTATAAATTATCTTATAAACACAAATATATGTGATTATATCAGAATCCGTATGTGTTACAAGGTTGAACGAATCAAAACATATGTTTTTGCTTCTTCCCTCATTTTTTGTTTCAGATCAACTTGGTTGAGCATGCGGGATGCATTTTGAAAAAGGACACGGGTGATATAGTGACTAAGAGGGTTTTGAAAACCCACTGAAAACATCTTTAGGGATCTCGTAAACATCATTTCTGTCAAAATCACATATTCATCATCAGCTTTTGGAATGACTATGCCATTTTGATATCCATCATGATGGTATCACCTTTTACGGCTTCATTCCTTTCATATTGATAAGATAAAAAATTTTCCAACATCTCATTAGAATAAAAATATTTATGAAAAATATATGGAAAAAGGTAAAACATGTTAACAACCATGATAATAATAATTATAATTATAATTATAAAAATATTTTGATATTTTGAAAAATAAAATTTTTTTTCTATTTAAAATATCTTGAACATTTTTTTAATGAATTCTCAATGGTTATTTTTTGCATAGAAAAATCCTCACAGATTTTAATTAAAATATACATCTTTAGAAATATTTTTTCTCGATTTAGTATCATATACTATCATTTGGGAAGAAATTGGGTCGCATTAAAATTTCTATATGATGTAAATTTAAAATTTTGATATTTTATACATATTCATTCATCATAGTGGTTTGTAATCTTGATAAATTTCTTATGACAAGCAGCTGGGTGAGACCAATTTCGGCGCAATCGTGGATATTTTATGTACATGGGAGGTATATTTCCATGCACAGCACATCGTTGCAGGTGCACTGAATGAGCACTTGTTCTCTTCCTCTCACTTGCTTTTACTCTCGGCAAGTAATTTAAGATGCATTTTGCATTAATTACATAAACGAGTGGACGTGTTACCAAGATTATAATAATTTATCTTTTTTTTAGATACACAAGCTCAGTGTTTACTAGATGACTTTATTAAGTTTTTTAAATACCTCTTTATACTTCATGAGCCCAGACTACATTCTGCTACCACCACAAGAATAACATCCATCAAGCTTATTAATCGATCAATATTTCTGTATAAAAATTTATTTATCATATAAAAGATATCTTTTACAGATTGGAGGGAAGAATCAACCATCAAGATATGAAAAAATGGTAGATTTGAAAAAATAATAGGAAAGGTAAAGCCTCTAAAGCATTTAACTTTGTTGGCGCTGTCGTGTATAAAAAGAGGATATTCTTCACCTCAGGCAATCGTCTTTTGGCACCTATTTTATCGTCTAGTTTCATCAGTTTAATCAATTTTACTGTGTCATATATTTTCTTTTCAGCTGTTTATTTTTCATCATCTATTATACTTTACACAGAGATCTATTTAGAAACTTTTTCTTAGCAAAAATATATATTTGTATAAAAGTTTTCGATTTTGTAAATTATAATAAAATTTTAATTACACTGTTAAAAATATTGTTGATATTCTTTTTAATATATCAAAATTATCATAATTATTTAAATAAAAACTAACAATTCTTTTAAATAAAATAAATTTTATTCAAAAGACAAAATCTATAAGGTATTTTTTTGTTGAGAATATTCATATTTATTCAAGTATGAATTCAAGTATCAAAAACATAAGAGAAAATATGTCAAGCATGAATACATGCATGATTTATATTCACATGAAAATATAATTTCCATTGGTAAAAAAAGTAATCATAAAAAAAAACAGTGATGCGTTGAGAAAAGTACAAAAAGATTTTGCAATTGTAAATTATTATATGTTTTAACTCATTTCTTTTTGTTTTAAGTTTGCATCTTTCAGTTTATTTAAAAATTTATTTCTATTATTATTATCATCATCACACGTACAGTACAGCTAGGTCAATTAAAGCAAACTATTTCTTGTATTCTGTAAAAAATTTATCGATAGCATATTGAGGTCGAACTAGGGAAATGAATATTCAAACAAACTTTTTTCAACATTTTCATTTTCCTATACGATGCTTTCTGTTATAATTATTAAGTTTAATGAAGTAAAGGAAATAATTAAGTGTAAAAAGAATTGTTGTAGAAAATGCAGTTAAGTTGTAATTAAATATAAATATAATATTGATATTATTTTGAAATCAGGAAAAAAAATAATTTCTGTACGATAATTAAAATATTACAAAAAATAAGTTATGTAATTTATAACGAATGATTGCGTTAATTCACGAAACCCAGCAAACAAAATCTGATGGAATGAAGAAAGATTTGATAAATTTAACTTTTAAATTATGCGGGCGATTAGGTGCTCTACCAATGTCAGACTTTAATCTGTTCAGTAGAACAAAGGCACAATAGCGAATGATAAAATGATCAAGTGCTTGTTACGAGAATCAGAGATTAAAAGGTGTGAAAAGAAGAAAAGAAATAGAGAGAAAAGAAGAATGTGAGATACAATGAAAAAGTGAAAAAATCTAATGGTCAAGTAAAGTGAATAAAGGAAGAAAAAAAAGAAGATTCACGGTTAATATATTACCATTAACTTCAAAGGAACAGATTGAAAAATTTGTAGGCGCCGAAATTAACGGTCGAGCTTATAAATAATCCGACACTAATGTGTTTTATCCCTGGACTAAGCGTGCGATCTTTCGCTATCCTTCCTCTCATTCTACATTTCTACTATTTTATATATTCACATCCTTTTCATTCCTTTTATAACCTACTACGAGAATATCCAAATTTTACGACCACCTCGAGGGAACGAAAGAACCTCTTTAAAGCTTTTTAACGAATGGCATAAATTTTTGGACGTTTACATCCTCATATGCCTCATGGGGTTTAGCACATTTCAAAGACACTCTTAAAGCATCCACCAACACATGTCCTCAGCGCGATTCACTCGAAACAACTTCCAATTTTGCATAATGATTCTTATTACCAAATTATTTAGACTCAATTACAAATTGTGCATACATTAATATCTTAATAACAGGAATGTCCATATTAATAATTCTAAATTTGAAAAAAAAAAATTGGCATTTAAATTGACGAATTTAAATAAAAAATTCTTCATTTAGATATTTTTTGTTCATTAAAAAAATTCTTTTTCCATGTAGATTGTAAGATAAATATGTAAAACAACAAACAAAAAAAAAGAGACAACTCAATTAACTTGTATAAAATTTCGGTGAATGATTAGAAGACAGATATCTGTGTACTTTGTAGATGGTCGCGATTAAATTTTATTTTCGTGCGGAAAGGCCAATGTATCGACTTGTCATTAATCATTGACTCGATTATAAACCATGTACCCATAGATCGGTCAGAATGTTCTGAGGATGATGCCAGTCATTTTTCAGAAGACGCTCCTTTATACACCTGAGATCTTCATCGGTCTCTTATAAGTACGCGAGTATTTTAGAGTCATGATGAGTAGACGGTAACAATGGGTGATGAACTGATGGAGAGAAGTAGAATAATGATCTCACTAGACAAGTTTCATCTTTAGGAACTTATTAATCTCATATATTATTATAAAAGTAAATAAAAAGTGATGACTGGTGGGTAAAATATAGAGGTAATACTAAATTGACAGATTAAGATAAATACAACTATTCTTTTTTACAACATTAAATCAAAGAGATATTACAGAGAAGTTGCAACCTCAGATAAACATAAATTATGCAAAATGTATATTAATGAATTGCTTCATATACATTTGCTCTATGCCTATTAACATGGATCAAAAGCACTAGGATAACAAGAGGTATGATGTCATATAGTGAAGACAATAATTTTAAGCTTTGCCTAAGTTAGGTAGAATACTCTTGTTTCTCTCTATCATACACAACGTCTTGCCATTGTTTCTATTACATACTACCACACGATTATATTTGTTCTCATGTACGAATAGAGAAACGATAGCCCGAAGGCTTTTGAGAAGAGTCGACAAGGAGGAGCAATGGTGAAATAAGATAAAACTAAAAAGCAAATGAAGGACGAAAAGAGAAAAAAAAATCAAGGTAGTGGCAATGTCAGTGTGGTTTTGCCAGCGCCAGAAGGTCCCCTGCTGAGGACTATCTTCAAAGAAGCCGCTTGAACCCTGCTTCTCTTCTATTCGAAATTCCGCGGACCTGCACATCCAACTCTGTGTGGACATCAACCGTCTGGCACCGTAATAAATCACTCGATGCTAGACAAAAGCCGGAAAAATAAGAACTGCATCCCATATTGACCCAGTTAACTTTGATGACGTTTCAAATTCTGCAAATACATCGTCGATAATACTAGGAAAAAACAATAACAAAAAATAGACAAAAGGAAATAAGACAATTAAGCCAACCTGACACCTTCTCTATGAACAGCTGGTTAACGTGATCTCCCAAAATTCGTTTCCGACCATGAAACACGCGTTGTCAGGTGCCACACACTGACCGTAATAATTATAATTACACATCTTTCAACGTAATTGTATGTGTTACCGTAACTGTTGACTAATTCTTTTAACACTATACCTAGTTTCATATTTTTAACGCAATTTACTTAATTATTTTAATAACTACTTTCTACTCTAGAGCCTAGAGGAGTCATCAAATTTTACAGTAATTTTCAAGTTATAATTCATATCTCAAATAGTATTATTTCATTCGTCTCACTTGATGTAAATTATTTTCAAGTTTCTATTGACAGACAGAAAATTTTTTAGAGAATTCAAAGATCTTAGATTTATTTAATGATCTTTCACACGAAAAAAAATCATAATTTCTAAGTAATCGTATTGAATTCCGCAAAATGATTTGATGCGGTCACAAAAAATAATAAATTCAATTTCGATATTAATTTAAATTTTAATAGAAAATTAATCGAATACACTTACCTGGTTATTTCTCGAAGGGATGAGTACAGAAAGAAACTGCTTTGTCGGCAAATAATCCCTACGGCAGCCATGCCTATTCCCAGATTTCCAACAAGTCTTGGAGCAACACATGACAGAGGTGATGTTGGATTGATATACTGAGCCAAAATACGTCGGTAGGATTGAAAATGAAAGCGCGGATGAAACCCAAGGCTGGTCGACTATTTCTAAAGAATCTCTATATTCACACTGCAATTTAGGAATCCTGGCATTCCGACTGCCGATGCACAGATATCCAAATTACGGATTCAACAGAATGGTTCAGCTTAAAAAAGTCTTCTCACGTTCATTCCAACTGCAAGATAAAAAGTTTAAATTTTAGTTATAGTAAGATTTTTTAACATCTTTCAGCGACTTTTCATTTCATAAAATAATGAAATTTAATTTAATCTTTACTTTTCACCAGAAAATTTTTAACTCAATTACTTTTTTTAATTGATTCTTCATCTTTTTCAGGAAAAGTACAGAGAAAATTTCTAACAATATGCAAAATATGGAAAAGAAGATAAGAAAATTATTCATTGTTTGAATAAATTTTCATAATTTTATTAAAAATAATTATTAGTTGTTGAACGTTAATTAATGAACGACATAATGATTATTATGAAAGTTTAATACCGTTCAGCCTCTCTTCGAATTGTTATTAATTTACTATTATATCAGTAGCAACAGCTTGTAATAGTTATAGTGTTTGTTCAATACTGGAAAAATTTCTATATACATATCGATTTGCTCATTTATTATTAAAAAGCAAATATAACTCAAAATGATGGTAAATATCGAGAAGTTATGTACAATCATATATAAACATAATACTATATCGAACATTGCATTATTCGTTGTGAAAACAACTCTGCTATTGTGAAATGTAGGTCTTTTAGTTCATTGAATACACGGAATCAAGGAAAGTCCAGTAAGTTTATGAAATTTGTTATTGATGTTATTGGATTTTTCCTTGTCAATCATTAAGTTACCAAGTTTTTTTCTTTGCTAAATTAACAGTCATGTTTGCATTAATCATCATTATTACAAATAATCATCATGAACAATATATATACATATATATAAGATAGTAGATCATTTCATACTGGAAAGTTTGAAAAAATATTTACATTTAAAATAAATCTGTCAATCTATATGTTGTGTTATCAATCAAATTATCAAGTTGATTGGCAGATTGCAATATTAAAGAGATGATAATGATGTTCAAAGATCACGATCGATAAATCAAATTCGAATGATATAAATGATGTCGGATCTTTACTACTGGTTTTACTTAATTTTGAATGAGAAAATCATTTATCTATAACGCTACTTGAATTAAAATTTTTTCAAAATTATATTACTAATAAATTTAATTTATTTCAAAACTAGATCATAAATTTTTGAAAATTATTTCAATATTTTTTGATTGCTGAAAAATGTATTGGCTGAATGGAATTTTTTATTGGGCTTTCTAAAAAATACATATGCATGATAATTGAGGTACACAATCATCTGAGCTCTTGATCAAAGCTTATATTGCAAACATGGATGTCTTTTACGTATAAAGAAGCGATCAAGAGGCACATCAGGTATGAAGTAAAAAAGTTAATTACCAAATGATTTCGATGGGAGAAAAACCACACCATACACCAATCGAACCATTCTTAATGTCTTTTTTATTTTATTTTCATTCTTCTTTTTGATTCAATAGCAATTTTGTCCAGCCTGGTAATAATGTGGGTTCTTGTCTCGACGTATGAGAATGCAAATTGTTACCTGAGAATGAAATTCAGCTGCTACTGAAGATGTTATTTTCTGTTGAATTCTGATAATTGCAACATATTTGTGGTATTGCTTACTATTGTGCATTATATTATTAACATTTGATTATAAAATGAATTTTTAAATAAATTATGGGAATATATTCTGTCACTGAGACTGATTACAATTTATAATGTGGATTATTAACTGTACCCAATTAATTAACGCCTTTAAACAATTCCAATATTTAAATTAAATAATAATATGTAGTGTGCAAATACATATTTTCTCTTATTCTGCTGAATTATTCCTTGATAAATCACCAAGTTCAATAAATAAATAAATTATTATGTTCATATAAATTTGTCGGGGTATAAATTAGTGACAACGGATTATCGAGTAAGATGATATGACACTGGATATACAATATGTATGAATGTCTGAAATACGATACTAATATATCGTGTTCTACTTTAATTTCTAAATTAATTACCTAGTTTCATAAGCAAGAACAACGGTAAATATTAGAATTCTTCTGAAAATATTTTTTTATCAATATTTGAATAAAATTGATCCCTAAAGCAGGTAGACAAGTGCACGGAATTCCTTCTTTCTGACTTACATAACAGGAGTCACGCATCGAGGCCAGTTGAAAGATTGATCGGTGCGAGAGTTGTCCATATTCAAATCGTGCATCTATCGTGCAAAGACAAATGAGCAGGACGTCATTTATTTGAGTGACTGAACCACCCGTGGTCACACAGCTGGTTGTCACGCTCTATCGCTGATATTAATACATGGAGATACGTCATTCGAAGAAACGTGAACTGAACGATGTTTGCTTATACTGTGCATATCACTCATGAGCTTAATTGTAGAAAAATCAAACATAGCGAATGTAATTGGATTATTCTGACAATCAAGATCATCAAACAAGAATATAAATGTTGATAGAAAAAATATTAAAGAAAAAATAAAGGTAAAAGCATTGTGACAAGATAAAAAACTTTACAAAAGGCATTTGTGGATTTTAGTCGATGATTTGAATGAAAATTTTATAGAAATAGCGATAAAGATTTCGTAATACATCACAGAGTGACAGGAAAGGTTGAAGAATATTTGATATAAAATGGAAAAACGACACAAGAGTATTCACTTTCTATCGTATTTGATGGCTAAAGGTCATACCTCTTCCAGAAGATGCAGCCCGCAATCCAGCTGCGATCCACATCGAGAATCCTCATCAATCATTTAAATGTAACACGCGGGATACCACGTTCTTCCACTTGGTCAGCTATAGGTTTACTTTGTCTTGACATCTGTCAAGCTATACGTGCTGCATCGACCACTTGAATAAAGCAACTTGTTATATTGTGTATGTATCTCTCTGATTTTTTCCCCTTTTTCATTCCATTCTCTAGAGACTCTTCACTGTGAACATAATGTAGTCTAATATAAGAACAACAGTCATAAGTTTCATCAGTATCTTTTATTAAGTAGACTATTTCTTCATGCAATATCATATTAATAACCAGTCTATATTCTTTCATTCCATTCGCATGCGGAATATTTATGTTATCTAACATCTAACCAAGAAATGGATAAAAATCATGCTACTATAGTCACTAGATCAGTTTACAAGCTTTCATAATCTAAAAGCTTTTATATTCAACGTTGAAGGATTTACACTCATGGATTTGGAATTCTAAGTTAAATAAGTCATCATCAAGTCTCTTTATATTGTTTGTCTATGAAAAGTTATTAAGTACTCTAGTGAAAAAATAATAGCATATCTTTCACAATAGTGTATTCATTTAGTTTCTTATTCTTTTATATTAACTCAAAGCCAGTTCGTTAAAATGAACATTTTTTGCAAAAAAAAAATCCAAGGAAAAAATTTCATTCATGTCTACTTTTTCTTTCAACTTTGAAAAAATTACGTTTTGGAAGCCATTAGTACCAACAACTTAAGTCAACTTTATTCAATGTGGCACGCGATTCTCGATAAATTGCTCAACAAGTTACTCCAAGACCAACAGAACTTGAAAAAAAACTCAAAAGCAATCACCAAGATATATACCATCAAGAAATCCAAGGTATTTAAACTTGAAAGAGAATCATTTTCTGAGAATGAATATTGTTAAAATGATAATGTGATTTATTTAGGGAAAATCAGAATGAAGAGAAACATGCAAAAATTATAGGGTAGTTGGATGGTAGCTAGAGGGAGCTAGCTAGGAGGTTGTGTTTTATGCTTTCTTTACCGGTGTGAGAGTAAAGAGTAAATAAAATGAGCTGATAAAAAAATTATAGAACTTCAATCATGTCAAATGATTTTAATTTCCCAATGGAATTTAATATTCGATATTTTCCAGTAATTGCTATTTGATTCTGAAGATCGAAGAAAAGATCTGCTGAAGACTTTGAAATATTATAAGAACATGACTGAAAAAAAGTGGATTGGTGGATCAGTTAAGCGTAATATGAAAGAACAATAATCTATCAATGAAGGATTTTATGCGGATTACACTGGAATCACTGCTTCTATCAAAGCGGCTCAAGTTTTTATTAAAAGGTTTTAAGCAAAATCACCAATAAATTCTGAACCGTGTTTTTTACCAAATCTATAAATTATTCTACATCGGTGATGGTAATAAAGAGACATAAATCGTAGTTGCAATTAAATAAATTAATTATGGGTCTCGATTAAAAGAGAATAGATTGATATCTTTCTATTTCATATGTCGCAAGATACGAAAGTTTAGGGACTGCATCACGACCTCGATTGTAAATCTTGATGGCAATCACCAAAAGTGGAGATACTGTTTAAGGGTAGTGTCAGAGAAGAGATGTAACAAAGAGAGAAGCAGCTAAAAGGATGAATAGCAGCACAGAGTGCGAGGTGAAGGTTGAAGTCTGATTGGTAGGGTGGTAAGAGAGAACTAAGATGTGTCGATCTGATTTTCAAACTATCTCTATCTTTGTTCCTCTCATGATAAGGCGATGGATTAGATTGCTCCCTCTTCTGACTCTCATCCGTTTAAAGTGGAGTAATTATTTGTGCTTATGGCTCGATCGTGATGGCGTCTCTCGAGAGAGCTTTTGATTCGCTTTTTCATCACTTCTAGTCATTTTATACTTGGCCCTTTTCTCTTTAACCCCAATCGTACTTGCGAACTATATTTTTAAATATTCATTAAGTAGATATTTTCGTGATTTTGCTGAAATATATGAAAAATTATTCAGATATTAACCCTTATGACCGTCGATATAAAATTAATTTTATGTGATCATACTACTGTGAAAATCCATTATTCTCTTGACACACTTACTTTTACAGCCATCAAATCATGATTATAGATTATTTGATTAATTTTGATAAAGTTATCATCTTTGGTGTTGCTAAATGAGACGATTGATTTTTGCACCTTCATTATTTTTTGCCCCCTCATCATTATCCCTTTACGAAGCGTAATAAAATTTCTATACATGCCTGCAACGAGCGATACGATTCACGTTCCATGATTCTCATGTTCACTTTCTCCTTTCACTATGGTTGTCTACCATGCGAATTTAATTATTGGGATCGATCCAACGCGCCTTTAATCGCTTGGGCGTGCGGATACATTAAACGATGGCGACGAACGAAATTGGTCGAAGGGTGAGACACTCAATTCACTCTCAAGTGATCGATATAGTAGTGTAAGTGAATTTCTGTCTTTCGATCAATCGGTGTATGTTTTAATTAAGGTTTTGATCGTTCTAATAACTTATTTATTTAGATAGCTTGATGGAGAATGAAGCTTGTAAAAATTCATGAGTACCTACATTGTTAATATCGAGCTGAAATTGCACATTATTTTATTCATGCTCGAGAATTTTTGAGTTTATTAATGTTTAATTATCACTCAATAAAAGTAAAAAAATAGCTCAAAGTTAACAGACCACTGAGCACAATATTTGATGGGAAAAGCTTAAGTAAAATGAGATATCAAAGAAGATAGAAAGAGCTTCAGATCAAGCGAAAATTGGTTGGGTTCACGTTGATATGTTCTCGTATAAAGCAATTCCACTACCATGTACGCCTCATTGCTTGAATGATAAGGGTGACTACAATTACTTAGTGTTATCATTTTTTCTTTCAATTTCATCCATTTTTTCGACCTAATTGTTTGACTTTCATCTGAATAATAAAGACTAAAATTGAATGAACAATAAATCAATTACTATATTTATCTTGTCATAATTCAGCCAGAAAACATTAAAATTAAACGGCCAAGCACTCTGATTAATGAGTAGTCAAAAATTTATGACTCATGTTTATTAATAAATTAAACTTGGAGTAATGAATAGCTTCATTCTCTTGACTAAGAGAGAATAGTGATGTTTGGGATTGTGGTGTTTATGTAAATATCTGCATGTAGGTTAATAAATCTTAATCCTTTTCGTATTGCTAGGATATCGGTAATTACATAATCATCCTCAAGGGAGATTCCGAAACATCTTAGATGCATCTCGAGTAAGATGATAGCCCTAGGAGGTGAAATTCACAAGCTACGCAAGCTTTGGTATTCGATAATTATCAACTTCTAATGGGTACCTATATTCTACGGGAATCTCCTAGAGTATGCCTTCTAGCTATACGACTACATGTACGAACAATAATCCCTCGTAATCCCAGTACATGCATGATTCAACTTTAGCTGTGTAGTCACTTTAGTTTTCTGATTACTCTTTCCATTTGATCAAAAATTGACAGTGACAAGTTGTCTTTTCGTCACTATTTCCTGATAAATTATTGATTGCATGTCTAAAACTTTTAATATCATCCGTGATCGAATGCTCATCAATTATACTTTTATCGACAAGAAGAGTTATACTCTTCATTTTATTATTTCAATTTGAAAGGTCAAGCATAAGTCGAATACATTTTTTATTTCTTCACCTGCTGTGTCATAATATTTTTAATTGATAAAATTAATGAAAAGGTTCTCTTTTCCTGTTGTCAGATTTAATAAGTTGACTTTCTAATTGTGTTTAAAATCATTTTAATTCAATTATGATTTTTCTAATGATTTGTGAAATGTTGTTGCAATCAAAAATTACAGTTATTAAAGAGAAAAGAAGGCATTCTTAAATATTTTAAAGCTTTAAATATCTTTGGATATTTAGCAATAAATTTTTCATCTTCAACAGAAAGCTTGAGTGTCATGATAAAGATCTTTTTTCAAAATACCGATTAAAAAATCCTTTAAAGTCTTATATTTTCACAGTTAATTAAATATTATCTAAGCAAAAATCGATTGAGTTAACATTATGATATAAAGATGAAACAGACAATTCAAACTCAATAAAGTTTTTTAATGAACAATATTTTTCACTCTTCTCTTTTCTATTAGCTTCTACGTTTGACTTTCGTTCGTCCACTTTAAATCTCATCGTTGAAGAATTTCATCACGCATACCTAACACAGTAGAGAGATCGAGTACCGTGAACACGTGTAATTGGTGAACACAGACATTTGCGAATACAGTAGAGCTCCGGATGACTGCGAACTGCACCAAGCGGCTTTACCGAGCTGGCTTGACTGCACTGGAACCCACTGCCGCAATCACTGGTTCAGAACCAAGAGAGGGTGGATAGTTGAACGATTAATTCACGGAGATAAAGTGCAATTAGTCGTGCGTGTCACTGACTACAATTAGTCGTGACACACGAAATCACTAGTGGGTTGTTTTCCCTTAGTACCAAACCCTCTACTTCTACCTAAGTCGATTTTCTAAACAATTCCATTCTTCTCTTGTGTCACTGTTTAATTAAATATTTACTAGTAAATGTTAAAGTTTGTATCAATCGAATATTTAAGAGGTTTTGACTTTATACGCACTTTAAGTATTTCCTTGCAATTTTATTGTAGTAAAAAAGTCCATTTTGTCATTAGATAATCTTTAATTGAAAATGTTTTATACAAAAATGAAAAAAAAGATTTGTGTGAAAAAATTTTTTCTTTACGAATAAACGACTCAATTTAATAAGCATTTGAAGTTTAAGAAAAAAAGAGAGAAAAAAACTATTTTATTTCATAAGAGTCATTTAAAAATTTCTGTGAAATTTAAATGGATTTTATGTCGAGTGTTTTCTATGAATTTATATGGGTCATCGTACAGAAAAAAAACTACAAGTTAAGACAATAACAGAGGATTAAAATTCTTGAAAGATTTTCATGAATTTATCGAGACTAAAAAGCAAGGAAAAAACTCCGAAACAATAACAACAGATTAAGGTAATAAATCAGTCTCTGTGATAGATAATATCACTCTGGCATATACGTGGAAAACGTCTCAAATAAACTTTCATTGCCTAATACTTGATCAAATAAATAAATATAACTCTAGAAATAGAGTATTTTAACCACATGAAAAAAT